TTGACAGATCAAAGTATGAGCCTCTGAAAGGGGGAAACCAACCTTTAACAAATCCCACTGTTATCATCTATCCCCTATCCTCCCTCTCTCTCTCGCTCCCCTGCTCTTTCACAATCCCCCCACCTTATTAAAAATTTCCTCTATCTTCCATTCAGAATATTCCACAGAATGAACGAGATAAAAATGACTGAAATGAAACTGGACAAGAAGTAAACATATTAAACTGTAGAGAAAACCACGTCTGTCCTGATGATGTCCACTGTGGATGCAAACATCTAGGTGTGGTTTGTTACATTTAAGAGATTAACTACAAATGTGTATATTTTTTCAATATTTTTCAGTTTTTCATGTTTTGAAGCTGTTACCTTAAAGAAAGGTTTCTTTATTGTTTCAGGGGGCAAAGAGAACATTGTCCGACCCCTCTGCCCCGTACCACAGGCCTCCTGTCTTTCTTTATTCTATTTCTCCTTTCCTCCACTCCTCCCCTCGTCTATTCCTCCTCCGTTCAGAGAGAATGGGCAGACACAATGCTTCTGTTCTAGAGGCCCCACAAGTCAAGTTCTCTCTTTCAGATCACTTCCCCTGGGTCAAAGGGCATCAGTGGGCTTTCCCCAAACACATATACACAACACACACACACACCAAGCCGTCCAAACCCTCTGTTACTTCCTTTCCTGCTTGTGAGCAGCTGGAAATCATAGTGTCTTGCTTCACTAAACATGCTTTTTGCCTCCCTCTCTTTTTTGAAAGCATTACCACTAAGCATAGAAATTTCTAGTATTACATAGACGCAATTTATTGAAGTATATGAAAAATGTCTTGATTTAATTTCTCACTTTCTTAGGACTGGGTTTCGATACAAATTTTCCCATTCGATTCCAATTCACAAGTTACAGTTTGATTGAAATTCATTCGGGTATATTTCAATTGTATTTAAATACACATGAAAGAAATTCTCCCTTTGCTAATGATGGCAATGAGTAACTGGCTAACAAGAGTCATTCATTTTCGGATTTGAGCTACACTGGTTGTGCTGTATGTTTTTGATTCACTAAAAAGAACCAGCTCATAAAAGTCATTTGTTGCATGAACTGGTCTACCCTGGCTGCCCTGTCTGTTTTTGATTCACTAAAGAACCGACCAAGATTAATTTGATTTAAATCAGTGTACACTGGTTGCACTGTATGTTTTGAATTTTGTGAAAAGAACCATTTCATAAGGAAGTGGTCTATACTGGTCATGCTGTATATTTTTAATTCACAAAAAAAAAAGAGTCATAAGACTCATTCTTTGCAGGAATCTGTCTACACTAGTCCCACTGTATGTTTTTGATTCACTAAGAAGAACCGGCTCATAAGCATCATTTGTTTCCAGAATTGGTCAATATTGGATGTGCTGTATGTTTTCACTACAAAGAATGGGCTCATAAGCATCACTCATTGCAGGAATCAGTCTGATCCCATAGTTTTGTTCCCAGTGTATGTTTCAGGAATCACTTACACTGATCGCACTGTATGTTTTTGATTCACTGGTGCACTAGTTGCGTTATATGCATATTTTGTATGCAGGTCGCATCTCAATCAAGACTTCTTGTCTTATTCAGGGTGCATGTCTTGTAATTGTTTAACATGCGATACAAATGGAAAACTCAGAATGACTCAGATGAAAGATGATTTCTTTTGCTGTAATTCTGCTGAAGCAGTGCAGAAAACATCCCTTTTTTTTCTTTCTCATGCTCACGAAAGCGTGCACAGTCTGCACACTCCTTATCGTGCCTTATGCTTTTAAAATTTGCAAGCAGTATAGGCTACTAGCTGCCAAAACTATCGCTCATGTTACTTTATGCCTTCAGCAAACCCATGAGAACGTCCCTCGCTGCGAGCGCACTGACACACTCACATACTGCAAAACATCACAGCACTGACCACCCGCAGTTTCACCATGTCAATTAAACACACAAATGAATTTAGTCGCCCCTCCCTCCCTGCTGGATGTGATGTGTTGCATTAATTAAAGTGGCAGACGTCTGCCTAATTGGAGCTTGGATGAACGTTGATGTGTGTGTGTGTGTGTGTGTGTGTGTGTGTTCAGCTAAGCCAGTAGTCAGCTTACAAAGTTACATTATGTTTCTTTGCATCTATAGTTATGCATGTTGTTAATTTTACCTGGAGTATTGTGTTCAGCTAAGCCAGTAGTTAGCATATAAACTTATGTTTTATTGCATCTATAGTTTATGCATGTTGTTCATTTTACCTGGAGTATAATTGTATTATATTAAATACAACATACACTGTAAAAACTATAAAAGACTCTAAAAATGCTATCCTGCCAACCTTTCAACAGCAAGTTCCCTTACTATATACTGTAATAGTTTTAACAGAACATTTTAAGTAATTTGACAGTAAAATACTGTTAAACGTACATACTTTGGAATTTTTTTTTGTAAAATTAAGTCATTATAATTTACAGTAAAAAAAGATTAACTGATATTCTATTCAAGAGAATTTACATTTGATGGTATTTTGTTTAAACATTTATGTTTCTTGTTCATTTCGGATAACAATTATGTACATTTGAGTTTTGAGTTACATTTTATGTTGCTTATTAATGTTTATTACATTGTTTTAGTGTAGTGTGTTATCATGATGGTGTTTTGTATTTCATGCATAACACTCATGAAACTGCACATTCTGTTTATTACTATATAACTCAGCTTGTGGAAGGGCTATCTAATTCAACATCTGTCTCTTTTACCGCTTATATTATTATAGTGGCTATCAGTATATTTTACAGGTACAAAACAGAGTAGCAAAATCTCATATTAACATTATATTAGTTAATGAAATTTTTACAGTTTTGTCTTTACTGTAAATTTAAGTTCAATCCCTTTAAGCCTAAAATGTTGCTACCATCATTTTTACAGTAGGGTTCTAGCAACCACAGCTAATAGCGTAAATTTTCAGTATATAAATATGAATTTAGTTAAAGTTTTAGTAGTTTTGTTGTGTGTTTTTGTCATTTTTAGTTTAGTTTATATTTAGTTTTTTTTTTGGGGGGGGGGGGGTTATTTTTATGTCAGTTTTTTTCCGTTTTTCATTTTTAGTTATATTAGAACATCAAATTAAACTTTAGTGCATCAAATTAAAATGAGAACTGTTTGGCAACTAGCTGAAAATGTCTGAAAAAGTTTAAAGTTTATTTTATTGTTTTTTATTTTATTTATTGCTAATGTTTATTTTATTTCAGGCGATGACTTTTTTATGGTTTTAATTTTAGTTTCAGTTTTAGATTCATCTGAAATAACCCTGGGCAGCAAATAGAAAGGAAGCTTCTATTATTGATGTCTGGTTTAAGTCATACTGTGTGTGAGTGTATGTGGGTGACATCTGGAGTTCCCTCATGTACTGCAGGGGTCTGCCAAGCAATGGCTTTTTAATAGACACATGTGTGCAAACACACATGCGTGCGCGTCCACATGCACATGCTGTGCCTCCCCTGGATAGAGATGTTCATCTAAGACGTGCCAGCGGTGACCAATCCCCCTCCTACTCTGATGCATCTGTCAATGTTCAGCAACTTCCATCTGTGCTCTCTGTGCTTGTGTGCATGTGTGTGAGTGCATTAAAATGATGTTGTGCATAGGAATGAAATAAAGAACGAAAGAAAGAAGGTTTAATTCAGGATGTAATTAAATTTTTGTTCTGTAATTGCTGGTAGTTACTAAATTTCCTGCATGAAATAAATTCCCTTTGTTGTGCAACAGCATTAATAATACTTTAGTGTTCAAATAAACTAGGCTTTTTCAGTTCCCCGAAAACAAAGCATGCATATGGACTTACTTTCATCTCTCTTTCGTTTGTTTGCGTCGGCGGGTGAGCTAATTCCCAGAATTCCACTGATGGAGTAGGAGGAGCCTGCAGCATCACTGGTTACAGCAGATACCTGGGTCACTGCCACTGTAGAGGCTAGAAAGTTACAGAGAGGTAATGAATAGCAGAAGTGTCCTAAAGCATACATGAACATGGCGGACACCATTATTGCTGCTCATTGCACTGAAAGGACAATCACTTTGGGCAATTATACAGTTTTTAAATATTTTTTATTAAGTTTTTACATATTTTAAATATTTTTCCAAACTAAATATCATGTATAAATATTATGATTAACTAACTAATTAATTAATAGCATTTTACAACTCAAACTAATCTTGCCTAAACCTTAACACACATTCCTGATGTTCTGCGGGGGTCATTTCTAGGATATCATTTCTTGTTTTAAGAATTTTTTTGTCTGCATGATGGTTGTACCACATGGCTTTTTTGGATGCACAACATAACTTTGATTTGGAAAATATTACAAAGATGTGAGGCAATTTTGTGATTTTTTTTTTCTTTATAAAAAATAATAATAAACTGTTAAGCCAAAATACTTAAAGGGATAGTTTCGGATCCCATTGACTTGGGAAATACAATGGAAGTCAATGTTTCAAAGAAGAAATAAGTCAAGCAGATTTGGAAAAACAACACCCTGAGTCAGTAATAATAGAATTATAATATTTGTGTCAACTATGCCTTTATTAAAGCTTTCTTTTCCAGATTTTTTTTTTTTTTTTTGGCAGTAGTTGTCTTCCCTATTTTAGTCCATTTTAGTCATCGGTTCAATTTCCAGGTAATGCATGGACTAAGAAAATATGTAGCTGTGTAAATGTCTCCTAATATTGATTGTATTGGGTTTTCTGTGATTCTAGCTTTTGCTCGCTTAAAGCTTCCAGGCCAATGTCATTTGTTTATGTGTAGTATGTTCTTGAGTTTTGTTTTTCCTTTCATGGTTCTTGGCCTGGCGTTTTTCCTGCCAAAGACCTTTCACCAAAACCTGCTGTCACTCAATTTTGGCAACGTGCTGCCACCCAAGGATAAGACGCTAACAAGCTAACAGCTTTTTGACATGTCTGGCTGTCCGTGAGGTCTTGGCGGTAGGGGACGAGGCCACAAAGTCTTCTCTCTGTCAACCCTTCATTCCCTCTCTCTCCTCTTTATCTCACTTCCTGTCAGCTGACGTACAGCCTGAGTGACAGTACAGTGGCCCCAAGGGGACACTAAGGTGTAGAGATGAGGCTAATCCCACATCCCAACAGACTCTGCTAAAATGGAGAAGGTGGGAAACAAGAAAAACAAATCGCTAGGAGAAAAGATAAACGCCTCTGCTCATCCGCCGCTCTCGTTTGCTAACCAGGTGGAAAATGTAATGAATGCATATCCCTCCATTTTTTTACTCTTGATTTATCATTTCAATTATCTGAATCTCTTATTCTTTCACACATTTTTTCTCCTCGCGTCGAGGAATGGAAACCCGAAGCGAACGCTTTATATTTAAAATCCCTAAATTTACATTTTCCACCTGAGTATGAGAACTATTTATCATCATAATCTGAAGGAGATGGAAAACTGGCGAGTGTTGTGCGTGTGAAATTAATTTAGATTAAGTGGAGGTGTGCGATTATGAAGATTACTGACAGTGAGACAAGCGCAGTTCAATACTTTATTAACTGCCAACGGGAGTTTTCCTGTAAAACTGATCTCAGACCATTTTTGAAGATTCCCCTTTGGTTTTTGGGGTCATTTGAGTGTCAGAACAACCGTAAAGATTCAAGGTTTTAATCAAACATTAAAGATAGGGGAGATAGATTGAAATACAGTACAGTAAATGTTTAAAAATCTCAAATCTCAGTTCCCCTCACTGTATAAGAGAGACACAGCCCTGCCTGCGTAAGTGTTATAAGGTAACTGGTATGTTGAAACCTTCAGCAAATAAATTAAATGGAGAGTAAATGAGTACTTCTTTAACTTTTTACTTTTTTACTTTTTACTTTCTCCTGAGATCTCAAATGATCTCATATGTGCTTCAACAATGTCTCAAACTGCTTAGATTTGATCATTTATTTGATCAGAAATACAAAAAAAGTTTGATATTTTTTTGTATTTTAATATATTATTTGATATATTTTAATATATTTTTTATATATTTATCCAGTCTTCAGCCTGACATGATCCTTTAGAAAGTATTCTAATAGGTTGATTTGGTGCTCAAGAAACATTTCAGAGTTTTATAAATGTTGAAAAAGTTGAGCTGCATGTAGAAACCATGATAAATTTTTATCAAAGAATCCTTGAATAAAATGGATGAACAGATAAATAGAATAATGAATGTTTTGACGAATAGAAACTTAAAATCTTTTGTAACATTATAAATATCTTTACTGTCACTTTTGATCAATATAATACGTCCTTGCTGAATAAAAGTATTAATTTCTTAAAAAAATAAAATTAAAAAAACTTACTGACCCCAAACATTTGAATGGGATGTGTACGACAACACCTTTTTTTCAGAAGCTACATTTCTTTTCTTTTTTTAATCCAAATATGTTACTCCCTATATTCCCACCTACAACTAAAGTTCTGTATTTTGAGTAGTTTGAAATATGACAAAAGTATACGTGAAGTTGACTCTTACCTAAGTTATGGGCAGAGACAGCTCCTGATTGGCCAGGTGGTTGCTGGACTTTAGTGCGAATGAATGAATATGTGTTTCTTTTTACGCCACTGACTCAGTCCCGTTGTTTTCCTTTATCTATTTCTCTCGCCCTGCATTCTTTCTATCTCTTCTCCATGCATTGCTCTATCACTTTTCTAATCTACTGATCACCTTGTTCTCAAAAATGTAGTGGTTTGCACACATACTGTATACAGTACCATTCGAAAGTTTGGGGGAGGTTATACATTTTTAAATGTGTTTGTCTCTTATGTCTTAAGTCTCTTATGCTCACCAAGACTGCATTTATTTGATCAAAAATAGAGTTAAAACATTAATATTTAAAATATTATTACAAGTTCAAATAAGTGTTTTCTATTAATATATTTTAAAATGTAATTTATTCCTGTGCTGGCATATCTGAATTTTCAGCAGACATTTCTCCAGTCTTCAGTGTCACATGATTCTTCAGAAATCATGCTAATATGATGAAACATCCATGTTGAAAACAGTTGTGCTGCTTAATATTTTTGTGGAAACTGTGATCAATTTTTTCAGGATTGTTTGACTAATAGAACATTTATTTGAAATAGATTGTTTAATAAAATGTTATAAATGGCTTTTCTGTCACTTTTGTTCAATTTAATGCATCCCATGCTCAATAAAAGCATTAATAATAAAAATCTTACTGACCTCTAACTTTTGAACAGTAGTGTACAATACACTTCATTCATATTAGCAAAGTGAAACAATACCACAGACACATTTCAGAAAACACACTTTAAACTATTTCAACCCAATAAAATCTTAAAAATCGTATGTTTTATCCCCTTACATTTTAAGAAAAACAAAGTGAATTAAATTACTGATGATGAAGTCGACTGATCAAATGGACATCAAATAGACAGAAATGTTTGTGTCAAGTTAAATGGATGATTTTTACAGTGCACACACACCTGTTGATTGAGCTGACGCTGGGCACGCTGTCATTGTCACACACTCTCTCTGCCAGCAGTCTGTCTCGGATCTCCCAGGCAAACATGGTGGGGTTTTGGCGTTTGTAATCAGCGATTTTGTCGACGACTTTGGGTGTAGCAACCTTTGGTTTGGAGCCTCCGATCACCCCTGGTCTGATGCTGCCCGTCTCATAATACCTGTGGAGCAGACAGATAGAGAGCTGTATATCACCAGGCAAGATAAACAGAGAGTTAGAATATATGCTTATCCAGCATCGTATGCCTGTCTTGCGGTCAGTGCACAGTTGGTTACTAGTAACACAGACACAGAGAACAACACATACCTTTCACTATCAGTCTGTTCAGCCACAGACGAGCACTATCAAACCTTATATGTGAGGCATACACACAGGAATTATAAAACAGGGTCTGGTCTAAATTCTGAATGGATGAGATGCGTTAAAGCCATGCAGATAACAGCACACCTGTGACCACACATTCTGTATTAATGCTGAATTAAGATACATGGCTAGTGTAAACAGCCTATATTTAAGCAAATGGTCATGGTGGAATAATCGTTAGTTATTAATATTACAAAAAATACTATTATTATATATTATTCCTTTTAATCAATTCGTAATAATAATACATTATTTAAAAACTCTAAAATATATTGAAAATGAGGCAATTTGGTGGAGTAATTATTTTAAATAATTAATATTAATTAATAATTATTCTAATATGCTGATTAGGTACTCAAGAAACATTTATTATTATCATTGTTCAAAACAGTTGTGCTGTTTAATATTTTTGTGAAAACTGTATAGTGCTTTTTTGGGATTCTTTGATGAACAGAATGCTTAAAAGAACAGCAATTTTTTTTTACACATTTATTGTATCCTTGTTCAATAAAAGTATTAATTTCTTACAAGTGAAAAAAAAATCTTATTGACCCAAAACTTTTGAATGGTAGTGTATATTAAGATTTGTAAGTATTGATACATGGTTTTATTAATCATATCAATATGCTTATTAACGAAAGAAAACGTATTGGAAATTGTAATAATGTTAATAAATTAATGCTATCTTAGATTATTAATATGAACACATTTATTGAACACTGATGTCTCATATATTGCTCTTGCTGGTGTTTTATCAAGCAACAAGCCATGTTGGGCATTATAGAGATTTTTACCAAGGTTAAGGGGGTTTTAGGTGCTCCGCTTCATCTCATGTGTCTAACTGCTTTAGTTTAGTTAAGGTCCAACACACAAACATAAACCAAAAGCACAGCTCATACAGCACAGCCATGAAAAGCTCACCAAAATGAGTGTGCAGAAAATTCCCTCATTAACAAGAGAGCAGAGTTAGTCATACGCATTATTTACTCAAACCTCACTTGCAGCCCACATATTAGTGTGTTTTCTGCCTGAGCAGTAAGAGGGAGGGAAGATATTACCGCACACACACAAACACACGCACCGAGCGCCGCAGTAACGGTTGAGTGAGTTGGACCAGGGCTGGGGGAAGAGGGTTGAGGCAAAGGAGAACAATGGGAAACACATTTTTTTGATATAGCTAAAGGCTCTAGCAGACAGAAAGAAAAGACGGCGCTTTGACTTTGGCTTCAGTGCGAGATTTGAGAATTTTTGAATTTCAACGTGTCTTCTTTGAAAGGAAGCGCTGAGTCAGCCTCAGGTTGAACCGACGACAGAGGGAATATCAAGCGAACGGACAGCATTCATCAGTGTATGGATATTTCAGAAATTGATATTTATTATGGATTAAGTAAAAGTTGACTTGATGAAAGAACGGAAGGAGGGTTGGAAAGCATTTAAAGGCAAGACTCCAAACACACATACTGGCCCCACTGTTTGAATGCAATAAAGGACATTAAGCTGGTTTCCCAGGCAAAGATTAAGCCTAGTTCTGGATAAAATAGCACAGGCAATAGAGATTCTCTATTCAACATCCTTTTCAGTCTGGGACTAGGCAAACTCTGTGTGTGGGAACTAATCCGTGGTGTCTGATAGCGTAGACTACAAACACATTTAGCCAACTTTACATTGCCAGTACATTGTTATATGAAATAATCATATAATATCTCAAGAAACTGTCATTCGACCTCTATAATGAGATATGAGAGGTCCAGCATATCTAACATGTTCGCTAATAGCTGCAAGACTCATTCACTCTTTATTATAATACACAGCTCATGTTAATCTATTTGTTTACAGCTTGAGAAGTGAGCTGCATAAAGTAATTTAAAAAAAACAGCTACACTAACATTTTAATGTTTTTCAAAGAAGTCTCCAATATTTTGAAATATTACTACAATTTTATTTTTTTTAAATTAAATATATATATATATATATATATATAACAATTGTATATATTCTAAAATTTATATTTTTCCTGTGATGGCAAAGCTGAATTTCTTAGTATTATCAATGTTGAAAACAGTTGTGCTGCTCAATATTTTGTGAAAACTTTTTTTTTTCAGAGTTCTTTGATGAATAAAAGTTCAATAGAATAGAATTTATTTGAAACTGAATTTTTGTAACATTATAAAGGTACTTACTGTCAATTTAATTTGTCCTGAATAAATAAAAATATCAATTTTGACCCAAAACCTTTGAACGGTACCGCACTTCTCAATGTTTCAAATGTAATATATACAGTATGAGTATATGGAAGTAATAGAAACCACACAAAAAAGTATAGTTGTACTAAATGGTAACTATATACTGCATGTACCATGGTATTACCATTGTTCTTACGTTACATGCAAAGTACATTAGTACTTTGTACTTTGGTACTTTTTTGCTAGTGATGTTAACACAAAAGGCTTCTTCACTTTTCTTTACAATAAGCAGAACTCACCTGCCCAGTATCTTGCTGACGCAGCCGTGGCTGACCCGGAGCTGGCGGGAGATGTCACACGGACGTACGCCCTGATGGGCCAACTCTACTATCCTCTGCCTCACCACATCAGGCAAGGGCCGCCCGTTTACAAACACCCCACCCAGCTGATTCACCCCTCCATGCCCTGCAGACACAAACAGTAATAAAAGGGAAACTGAGCAAATCATATCTTCCTTAAATACAGAAGCTGACACATGGTGGGCAAAAAGCGTTGCTGTCCCATCCTGGTGTGTGTGTGTGGGTGTGTGTGTGTGTGTGTGGGTGGGTGTGTGTGTGTGTGTGTGTGTGTGTGTCTTTGACCTGAAGGTTATGATTATGCAGTCTCTTCCTCTCCTCTTTATCATATCACCCCTGGTGGTCACCTAGAGAACTGCACATGACCTCCTCACCCAAGTTAGTATTTCTGTCTGTCTGTCTATTTGTGTCTGTCTGTCTGTAATTGTTGTTGTGTGTCTTTTTTGCACAGTGGGTGGTGGGATGGACCTCCTTGGTGGGCTTAGACTTTTGGATACCAATTTTCTTTCATTCTTGTACTGTATATATTCATTAGAATTCAGTATCTTATCATAATTTCAGTGCAGAAGTCTACGTGGTAATCCAGTCAATCTGTCATATTAACATACTGATTGCTTCAGAAGGGGAACACACAAACACACATTTACACACACACAAAAGAACTGGGGGGTGTCTGTTAATCCAAGCTACAGGGTAATGGATCTTAAATACATCCGAGAAGGCAATATTAAACAGACCTACTGTAACTGGTCTTGTGTGCCCATCACTAAATACATAAGTTCAGCTAACAGAAAATTAAAACCCAGCTACATGTCTTTTTCATTTTCTCAAGGCAACATGCAGAAAAAAACAGCATTTTCATATTTAAAAAATCCTTTAGTGAGAGATTTGACCTTTTAGATTTCTGAGAACCTAATTTTTTTAACGCATTTTGTTTTCTGTTTCATTTGACCTCCTTTTCTTTTTCCTTTCTATTAATGCTTTAGTTTCCTTTTTTCTTTTCTTTTCTCCTTATGTGTCTTTCAGTTACAGTTTATTATTTGAATACCCTTGAGCAAAGTGATGAAGTCATGGAGTCAACTAGCTAAATTTATTTTTAAAGATATACATTTAAAATTAGGTGTGCAAACATATTCCTCATTTGTAAGTCGCTTTGGATAAAAGCATCTGCTAAATTAATAATTATTTGTAAAACAAAGACAGTTTTGCTTAATCTCCTGTTTAAATAAAAAAGTAGGCTACTATATACAAACACTACAACAGAAACAGTGAAATACAACAAACTGAGTTGAAACTTAAAATGTTTCTTCCTCAAGAAGGGCTTATTTCAATTCTAAAAAAAATGCATCGCTTAGAATTACTTTTTAGATCAATTTATCTTGAATTTCAAAATCTTTGTCAACTGCAGCTATAAGCACTGATTTACAGTAATAGTTAGCCTATAAGCATGCATACAATTAATTGATGCATAGAGCAAGTTTGTGTTTGAGTGTGAATGAGAGCATGTATGAGTGTGTAATTGTGTTTGTTTGAATATAAGTGCATGTCACAGAGAGAGAAAAGGCTGCAGTGGGGATTAAACGAAACAAGCTATTCAGATGTGATCTGACCAAGACTTTTTCCCGTTTCTTCTGCAAATACGGCTGGCTTATAAATCGAAGTGTTCCTAGAGCTTTGATTGATTTCGAGGCAGGTTCCGTTTAGAAATAGCGAGAGCGGCTGAAAGACATTCATGCTCCCCCATCCAGAAAATAAACCCGATTAGAGACGCTGCTCCATTACGATCCGCTATCGGCCGCTCCGATTAAACCGCTCCAAACAGAGCGAACCAAACGCCAGCAAAGCGACGTGACATCAGCGTGCTTTAACAAACAGACTCACGAAAAAAACAAAAAAAACAAGTAAGGGACTACCTTCATTCATGCAGGGTAAATTCAATGTTTTCGGGAAAGAATGCAGCGTTTGAAAATAAAATTACAGATAGGCCTAGTTACATTTTAAAAATGAAAAGATTTTGTTTTATCTTGTATTGAAAAAAAGTTCAACCATAATATTAAAGTAATAAATAAGAAGTAGCCTACCGTTGAATAAAAGCGTTTAGGTTTGCTGGATTTAAAAAAAAAAACAGTTTTAAAGAGAGGGTTTTGTTGTAGTCTTTGTAAATCATATTATTTGTGACAGATTCATTATTGTTTTGCCATATATCTTATACAAGTTAATCACGTAGCCTATCATAGCCTATTAGTAATTAATGCCTCATTGATAATACCTGGTTGGTTATTTATTTATTTATTTATTTATAATTCATTTAGTCTAATCTACGTAACATGTAACCAATTATTTTAAAAAATACTGATGGTTTTTAACAGGCGACAACAAACAAGAAAGCAGGGAAACTCAGAGCACAGAAAAAGAACAATGACACTTTTCAGAAATTTCAGCAAAATCTTTTTTTTTTCTTAGCATAAACTTCAAAGCTCTACTCCTAAGTAAGACGGAATTATTATTATTATTTTAAGTTATTGACAATAAATAGGTTTGCATCTTACATTTAGCCTAAATAAGCTCAGATGAAACAATGTTTGAAATCACTCGAAAAATTAATATTAATCTACATTCGTCGTTTATGTCAATTTAGCATAAAACTGTAACAAATTTAGACGGCCAACCGGTGGCCTACTAACAACTGTAACATCTAATTTACTGCATTAGAGGGAGTGTTAAATATAGGCCCTATAGTAACTTAGCCTACATTGTAGTTCACACTTTTTATGATCACACCTTTTTAAAACCTGCAAAGTCTTATTAATATTCATGAGCAAGATAAGTATGAGTTTAAAACATCCTAAAGTCTTCTTCCTCTCTCTGTGTCTTTCCTAAAAGTCTCGCAGGTTCGTGTCACAGTCTGTTCCTAAGGCTTGCACGCTTTGACATTTTCGGTGTAATCGTTTTACCCCGCGGACTGTGTTGAGATATTGTGGCGGAGAGGAAACGTGATTCGTTCTAGCTTCTGAAATGTGTATACATCTAATCCACCGTTTCATTCACCGTGCCAATAGATGTCATTTCACATAGATGTGCGTGTGCGAGTGGGTGGGTGCGCGTATATTTGAGGTTTGCGGTGGCTTGGTGTATGAGCTTTTATTCATCGATGAGAAGAGAAAGGAAGAATGAGCGAGAGAGGGAGAGAGAGAGAGATCACAATTGTATTTTCAATGTGCATAGGCTAATATGTGATTGGCAGCTCTTGGTTTTGGTAATTTTCAGACTATTTTTCTTACAAATTGAGGACATGTACACAGACTTTATTTTTTCATAAATAGTTAATAAATATTTATAATAATTATGTAAAATATTTTTACATTTAATTCTAAAGTATGTCTTGCAAACTAAAAATGCCCATTAATGATTTAAGTGTGTAAGCTGTTGTTTGCGCGTCGGCGGCCACAAGAACAAGAAATAGGCTAAAGAGAGGGAAAGAGAAAAGGGGCCCTTAACGCTGGTATCTTGGGGGATCACCGGTGTCCGCCATGTCACGAATGAGTGACCACACATCTCTCCGCTACAGTGGGCAACTTCAGCTTTCGTTTTTAACCTCACAAGTGGCCTGTTTACAGCCACCCTCAAGCAAAGTATTTAAAGGGTACGGAGCCTGTTTGCCATATTCTCAGCTGCGGTTCAAGTTCAGTTTGTGTCCGCTGGCTACTGGCCTTGGCCGCGATCTCTTCCCCCCTCTCTTTCCCCCAGGGATTGTCAAACAGAAGGCAAAAGCTCTAACAAAGCAGCCCGGTTCTTAATCAAGAGAAAACTCCCAAAATAACTGACCCAAACAGCAAAAACGTCACCGTTATTTAAGACACTGCTGCCTTTTTAAAGGTGACCAGCAATAGTGCGCAAAGTGCTTTGCTTTCATTAGATTTAATCAGAGTGTATTTGAGTTATTCTATCATTCTGAAAGGAATATTAGAACAGGTGGGAAAAAATAATAGTCTGAGAACTTTGATAGAAATCAAATATTTAACAGCAGTTAGTCTGAAGTGAACTTACTGTGCATGGCTGCGAACGGGTCGTGTTTGCAGTGGATTTCCATCGGTCAGTAGAACAGGCCTTCCCGTGAAAACCACCGAAAAGCTTATAATGTCCTTTTCTTGCTCTTTTAACGGTTTGTGCGTATGTATTCTGTCCGTTCTGCTCGGAAATGTTTCTCTTAAACAGTTTCAGCTGTGTGGAAGTCCACAGAAACTTTGGTTGGAAAATAAACAATTGAACCTGAAGACCCTAAGGCCTAAGGTCAAGAGTAGAAGAATATACGTAAATAGTTTTTGTGATTCTCGCGGGGTAAAGGAACAGAGATCATTCATAAATAACAATTTATCTGATTCAACATTAATTAATCAACAAAAATGTAAATGGGCGGTCAGGGTACAACCCTGCAGGGTCACACAACTGCTTCTGCGGCCCAACATCCAGAGTGAACCAACTCAGACATCAGTGGGGATTCATAAAAACTCAAATTCAAGAAAAGTCCTGGCGATATGTACACATTTGAGTATTAGTCCGAACAGTCTTAAGATTTAGATAAAAATGTAGAAGTCTCGTTTCCAAGCTCTATCTTGACATCCTCGCTCCACTGACCGTGACCCGTGAACTGTGACTGAGGTTCGCACTGTCAGAGCGCGTCTCTAGCAGGGATCTGTACAATCCTGGTGAGGTTTCTGACAAACCAAAACATTTACTTCACGTTCAACGTATCTTCACGTAAACGCGATTTCCTTGCATCTTGATCTTCTAATCGCCCAAAGCGCGCCCTCAGACTCTCTTTTTAAGAAAAAACATGCAGATACCTCCGACAGTACAAAGATTCCCAAACAATAGACATACGACCGTGGACATATGAGATTAAAAAGTACATGGTATGAACCCCGAATCAAAATGTTTGCCAAAGTTAAATAGAAAATGAAAAATAGCCATTGCGCGAAGAATTTGAACTTGAAAAAAAATGTCCAAGAAATGTCCTGAAGAAGAAAACAGGCTTTATCAAGTTTTGAACCACTACTCAGTACGTGCGTAAAAATCCTCAGAAAGTCTCAGATGGCTGATACGGTAGTGTCATTTGTCTGTCTCGTCGCATCGGATGTTCTTTCCGTGTGAGCTCTCCGGCGGCGAGAAGCAGTGCTCGAGCCTCCGTCCTTACCTCGCAAACACTGCGCGAGCTCACGGCGCGTTTCAGAACCTGCTCTCGTGTGGACAGCGCCAAAGCTACAGCGCTCTGAATCTACTACCGAGCGCGAGCGCGACTGTCAATCAAGATCAGCCTACCTATCCGGGCTCTGCACCTCTGCCGTCACAATCGCCCTGAGTCGCGCTCAGATAAAGACGACACCGATTGGCTAACACTCAGCCAATATGAAAGTGACGTGCTGTCCCAATTGTGCACTGACAAATAGGGAGTCTTGAATCGAAGTTGGTTCAGTGGTGTCGCTGATCCCATGTCTAATTTCAATTAAGGAAGGGGGAAAAATTGAAATTTTCAAATATCCGTTTGCACTCTTTTCAGTCATCCAATTAATAAACAGTTAATAATTAGGTATTGCGTCCGAATGTTTTCAGTTATATGAATAAGCCAATATAATGCATTGAAAATCATTTTAAAATATTGCTTATGGCACTTGGCACGTTGCGGCATTTCACTGAGCTACATGTGCATATAAAACAAAAACATGCATATAAAATAAATTAACAGAGTTTCTCAAATAGTATTGTATTTGCAAATGATTAGAAATTATAAATATCGCACTTGCACGTGCAATTACGACTTCAAAACACAAACAAGTATTTTTTTTTTTTTTGGTAAATTGTTTGGTAGCCTAAATCTTAATTAACGAATTGAATGATTATGCATTCATTAAAGTTGCCCAAATGATTCGTTGTTATTTATGCGCCTTCGAAAAAATATTCTTCCTATCTACATTGTTTGACGGACACGAGCGCTGTTCCACGCAGACTTTTGCTCTATTTTCATGCTAAATAAGTTTTCATTAGCCTTCTAACAGATTATTAAGCACTTGGTATTTAGTCATGTTTAGTTTAGTTGACTTGGTAACTGTGATGTGTTTTTTAAATAATGGTGATTTATAATTGTTGTGGTGGCTAGCATGGTGATCAGTGTAATACCAAGAAATAACAAGCATTTTTAAAAACGTAATATTAGGGTTATCAACATTAATGTGGTCTTTAATTAATTTTTTTTTTTTTACTTACCTAGGCAAGAACACACACACACACAAAACATACTTGAATTAAATTGACTGAATTACTGAATGAATTAACTTGAAGTATTTTATTTTTTTAACACATGTAGTTGGTTTTTCAATTATACGTTTATTAATTTATATCCTTATATATAGGCAACAAAAAACGTACATTGCTAAAACAAAACTTTTGTATCAAAACATAAAACGAAAAAAAAATGTTATATAATGTTTCTCGGTGCATTACATTATGCCGAGATGTTTCTTTGCCTGGATACAATGCAAACCTTAACTCATTAACATTTTGGAGAACGTTTTCGTGCATCTTCTTTTATCAATCACAGTGTTATCCTACACTTAAAGAACAGAGACACAACTGCCCTAAATGCATTTGCCTGTGTGGTCAGAATAAGGTAACTTTTAAGTCGCTGGAATCCTGTGGCTCATGCTCAAAATTCATGTGCTCAAACACATATTCGTCTTGTTCTGTAAGGCTTGAAAAGATCCCCGCGCGGTGCGCCATAAGTGCCACGAGGGGGCGAACCTTTGGTCTCGTGTGAAGAAGCTGGATCACGTCAGCTTGCCACACACACACACACACACACACACACACACACACACACGCACACACACATACTTACATACTTGCATTTGTGGTTTACAGTGACTCTCCATAGGCGTAATGGTTTTTATACTGTACAAACTGTAAACACCTAAACCTACCCCTTACAGGCAATTAACTACTGGCAATTTTTGAATTTCATAAAACACCGTTTTTATGTTTTTTTAAGCCTTTTGTTTTACGGGGACACAGGAAGTGTCCTCATAAACCATATTTACCAGTACACACACACACATTTATACGCACACACACACGCTCACTTATACACTTGTGAAATCACAGTATATAATGATAAACGTGTTGCGATATTAAAATATATAATAGCGCTATTTGCAGATATTTTGCAGCCTATTCCGTTTTAAATGTAATAAGATGTTTAAATATGGGGATCATTAAGTTATTTTACTTACATTAACAATTAAGTTGAACACTTCCATGTTCTTTCGAAGGCCTAGGCTTTCAGTTGACATTTCTCAATCATTTATTTGTTAGTTGTGTTGTTTTGTTCCTTATGTCGAGAGACAAACGCGGACCACAGATTAACAATAATGTTAGGCTGATTAAACGATTTAAATTTTTCGAGTAAATTATCTTAGCCTAATTATTTTAGTTTATCTAGTCTGCCCCTTTTTCCCCAAAAAATACCATCTGTGGCCCACGTGATACTCTCAATACTCAGTAGCCTACATATTCTGTCTTATTGGGAAAGTTCTTGCTTGTGAGTTTACCCAAAATTAATTTTCTGCATATATTTAGCAAATTAAATATTCAAACAAGTCAAACTAAAACAACTAAAATCATGTATAAAATTGCTTTCTGGTTTGGATTTTTGAATAAAAGTTTATCATTCAAACCATTTGTTAAATCAACAACATAATCTATTGAATTATTTAACGCTTTGAATTAATGAATGAATGGAAGAAAACTTGAAAACATTAATAAGGCAATAATGAGTCGGACTCAGATCACTTACGTAGGTAATCTTAAGAAAATAAACATAATTAATAGTAAACAAAAATATAACATTTCTATAAAAGTGTTCAGAAGTCGGCACAAATCTGAATATTTATTAATAATAGGCTAATTGTAAATATTTCAAAGTATCAGAGTCAAAGCCAAGCATGGTGTCCAGTCCACTCCATGTTGGCCGTATATGCAATGTTCAGAAGTCGGCACAAATCTGAATATTTATTAATAATAAATTGTAAATATAATTGTAAATATTTCAAAGTATCAGAGTCAAAGCCAAGCATGGTGTCCAGTCCACTCCATGTTGGCCGTATATGCAATGAATCACGTCACTGACACAAACTCTCATATTGTATTCGTGAGAAGTGGAGATTGTGTTTTAGTTAAATCGAAAGTTAAATCAATTCTACAAATTGTGTGAAACACACAGAACCTCTAACCAAAGGACTGCAAGACTATCAGATGTTTAAGCTTAGGCGTATTCCTTCAGTTATATGCAGTGGCCTATCTATCAAATATGTATTTATGACACAGAAAGGCAAAACGGATAACCAATAAAAAAAATCACCAGACAAATAAAAACACGAGAACCAAATATAGGCTATTAGAATGACGCATAATAATATTATTTATAGTCTTCAAGGATAGCTGGGCGTATCGTTTTGAACCAGGTGAGATAACCACCTTAACTAGTTTAAACTTGTCTAGGTCCCGCTTTAGTTGACAGAGCAATTTAAGAACATGTCTCATTTTTCATTATGTTATGAAGAAAAGTAATGTATGTCCCCTTTATCTATAGATTTATACTAACACAATACAATTTCTAGATGACAACAATCACTTTTGACTACTGTGCGATTTGTGTATCTCACGTTTAGCAAAGTAACAAGCACCAACACCGACAGAATTTACGCATAAATCTCGATTGCACGCGCCATTTCATTGGGAGTTCTAAATGTGACGCGTGAACGACGAACGTTTATGAAAACACAGAACTATTTGCTATTGAATCCATGAATTGAACGGTCATAATTCATGCTTTTGGATCCTGAATGAAAACATCTGCAGTATAGACACTCACACTTGGGCTCAAATCTTTTCCATTGGAGCATACATCTTTCAACAACCTCATTGTGTGACAGGAAATGTAATTGGTTTCACGTATAGTTCTGTTTTGAAATTTCGTGTGACGGTTTTGAATTTTGATTATGTCCCTTTGGACTGTAATAGTCCCGGCAAATAGGCCTAAACCCAGCACACTTCAAGCTCAAACGCACGTTGATGTCAAAATCACAGAGTCAGCAAAGGTGTGGCCAAAATGTAAGCTTATAGAATGTCTAGGCCCGTGTTCTTGATTTTTGATGTTAAAAGTGTCACAAGATGAACCTTCAAAATTCATATATATGACTGATATATAAGGGTCAATCCAAAAACCAAGCAGTTTTATAAAAGACATATTAGCCCATGTAGTAAGTGCACAAATGCTGTATTTGTTAGTTTAGTTTTGTAAAAGAGAGACCGTTTTATTAGTAGACAACTTTGAACAAACAATAGTAGTTCAAATTAAATGGAGAAACAAGGCCCTACCCGACCGTCCGATGCGCAGAGATGGACCCTTTTGGTCCAAGTCCATGCCGTGGCTAGAGGTTGGACAGAGGGATGAGCGGGGGGGTGAGAACAAAAAAAAGTTCCCTCTCCTATATCCTCTGTTGCTGTTCTCTCTGCTCTTTTTTGTAACAGTGGTTTTGACGAATGGTAGTTTGAAATAATGTGACTCTTCCGCTCCCTGTTGCGCCGTTGCAATTGTTCACTGGAGTGAGACTAAACGTTTTAGGTGGAAAAGAGACTCTGAAGGAAGCGTGAAACGATTATGGGGCAAAGTCAAGAAAGAGCCGCGCGCTCATGCCCTCTTTCTTCCTCTTTCTCTCTTTCTTCCTCTCGATCTCTCTCTCTCTCTCTCACACACACACACACACCTGCTCCCCTCTTCAGATATGGGCAGTGGGTCTATGCGTAGGCGCGTATATCTGTTAATTTGTTGGTAACACTTTTCAAACAAAACTTTCGCTCTCTCTATCTCTGTCTCTCCCTCATGCTGACAAGTTTAAGTGCGTCAAGGGATTTGAGGTTCAGGAGATAAGTGAAATACAGAATACAGATTTAGTTTTTTTTTAAAAATCATGGTAACAATTTATTTTAAGGTGTTCTTGTTGCATGTTACATGTACTTACTATTATAATAACAATAAATTATGCATAGGCCTAATTACATGCAAGTAACCCTAAGCCAAACCCTAATCCTAACCCTAACCATATAGTAAGTACATGTAGTTAATTATTATTACTCAGTACTTAAATGTATAATTACACTGTAACAAGGACACCTTAAAATAAATGTAACCAATCATTTTAAGCATGTGCAAGAATCGTAGCCGAGTTAATTTTGGGTTTATTAAACACTACAATAACTTTAAATATTAAGTTATTAAAATATTTTATTTAAAAACAGTACAGTATTAATTCAGATATATAGTCTATTATAAATGCATATGCATGAACATTTAGACATGTCAAACAATAATGCAGGTCTAATAATGTTTATAGTACAGGGAAAAGTGTTACCAAATAAAAATGGTGAGACTTTTTGGCTGCATTGCATTTTTTTTTTTTAAAGCATCTAACAAGACTTCTGCAGAATATTTTTCGTAACAGCAACAATGCACGTGCATGCACGCGCTGGATGATGACAGGCGATAATTTGAGGTCTCGAGGTTCATGGGCGACACAGACACAATTGAGCGTTGAACAATGCGATAGACGCGCCGTTCGGCACTCTCTGACCTCTACTCAGAAAACAACCGATGTAGCTCATTTAATCGCGCCTCATAAAGCCATGTTCCATTGATAGAGGGCTAAAGGCAGAATAATGAATGAAGCTTTAGACCTTATTAATTTAATACGGAGTGGCCCGTGGCTTGTTTCAGATAATTTTGGCCCAGAGGTCAGTTATTTAATTACAATACTTTTCGCGCATGACGGAAAGTCTGTATTCATTTGCGATAAATAAATAAATAAAATCATTAGAAAGTGGGGCTGTATTTTGAGGTGAGTTTGGCCTTCTAAAGCTCTGACGGGAGATGAGCGCCAGTGTTGCTGTGCAGGTGGCTGTTGTCACGGTGACCTGAGGCGATGTAACTGCATCGCTACGCACGACTCTCCGCTCCAAGATCAAAGGCCAAACTTGTCCTACATAAACTGACATCAACGTCCACTCTTTCTTCCTCTTTCTCCCTTCTTGTCACATCTTTTAACACTTGGGACCACAGGGCTTCTGTTTGCATCCATCCATGGAATTAATAATAGACTTTAAAATAAAATAATTATTTTTCACGATGGCCAAACCACAGGCAGAATTTTTAGAACATCAAGTGCAACAAATAGTTCTTTTTTAGAATTGTATTCTAATTGATTTATTAGTTCAGTGAAGATGAGCCGTTTCCCACTGCCTCTTATTTGACAAAAAATGAGATAAAATCTATAAGAATGTAGCTATATAGCTTATATGAACTGTATATATTTTTTTTACATGTGGGCCTGTTTAATGTAAAATTAAAACATTATTATTATTATTATTATTAACATATAAATTGATAATAATAATATTGCTCCTACCACAGTTTTTGTTACCACTGTACCTGGTAAAGCTGCTATTATTATTAAAAGAATAAAGGCAAGAAATGTCAAATCTTATATTGTTTGGCAGTATAAAGGTTTCCCCATAGTTTATTATACTGTAGTGCAATAGTTGTAGAAAATATGCCTATTATTATTATTATTTTATTTTTGCAGAAAATATGGTTATCATGGTACAGTTGTAAGGCATAATCTATTTATACTAGAAGTGAATTGCTCTGTAACCATAAAAAAGTTCAAATATGTTTGGAAATATATTTGTGCTTTAAGCAAATGAATACAAAATAATTTAAGTAATACATTTATTTATAGAAAACTCAATAGGGTTGTTGTGTGAAATTGCAAAGGTTTTTATAGCCTAGGCTACATCATGACTCTGTTGATATGTCGTTTGGCAACATTGCTCCACACATGCAGTCTTAACGTGATAGGATTACAAAATGCGCTGTTTCAGCCTCCTTCTTAATTTAATTAATAACGTAATTAAAGCGCGGAGAGTTTTTGGTAAGGAGGAATTTTGGCTGTTGCCCTGCTGGAAGCGGAAATAATCGCTTTTGACCGAGACGCGAGAGTCAAAGCGGACAATTAAAACAAAAAGTAAACAAATACACAGAGAAAATCAACAACATTAATGACGCCTCCATTTTTTATTCGACTCATTTGTTCTGTGAATGGTGTTATGAATAGAAGTCCAATAAACGAATGTTGTTGTTTTTTTACACGCGAGCTCACTAAAACAAATCCAAAATTGTCTTATCGGACTGTCTGTCTCTCATCTGATCATCAGTGTTTATGGCAGAAGCACACTTTTGAATGTTTCTTGTCCCTTATCCTTTTCAAAAATACCAACCACTTTTTCCTCAAAATACACAGAACTAAAATGATTGTTTCTACTGTGGAAACAAAAGCCAACACCTGTCGTCAAACAAACAAACAAACAAACAAACACATAAATACAGGAATATTTCGAAAAAGATCTCCTTTTATGGCTCCACGTATAGCATCTGTAACAGTATTTCGGCAAAATATGACAATTTTGGTAAGCAACTTTCGGTATTAATTAATTTACATATCTTATATGTATATCTATTAACAATGGACCGGACATAACAGAATTTGCTTGGTTATAATAACTACCTCACAAAGAAATGTTTTTTTTGCAGTGCTGTCAAATCTGTGAAACCCTAATTTTCCACCTGTGCTTATTTAACAATTTAAAATTGCTAACATGCAGTTTTTCATGTTTAAAGAGAGACCTTAGCCAGTGCTCTGTTAGTTTAAAATCCAGATGACATTGATGGGGTATCCTTTTCTTTTTCTTTTTTTTTCCAAAGAGTAGCCTATTATTAAAACATGAACATGTGTTAATAACTTTTGCAGAGGTGCTCTCTTTGATTGTCAGCAAGAGGAAAATAATAATGTCAATATTTTTTCTATGGTTTTTCTTCAGCAACATGACGTTTGGTGGTGTTACGCCAAAATCTGTATCAAATGGGTAATTATCTAATTGAGTGATTTATTATAATGATGTATTTTAAGTATTAACCTGATAAGTGTGAAAAATGTCTACAGAATGTGTGAACCCCAAGCCTCAGCAGGAAATAGTGCCAGTTCTAAACCTGTCAACACTTGGCACAACACCAGACCACACAAAGAGGACATGGGTTTCTTCACTGAATGTTTTGTTCCAGATCGTGTGACGTGTAGCGACATGCTGGGGTCAAACTGTGCCTTGATATTCTAAGTCAGTTGTTCCCAACCCTGGTCCTGGAGGCACCCCAACACTGCACATTTTGCATGTATCCTTAATCAAACACACCTGATTCAGGTCATCGGCTCATTAGTAGAGACTCCAAGATCTGAAATTGGTGTGTCAGAGAAAGGAGATATGCAAAATGTGCAGTGTTGAGGTGCCTCCAGGACCAGGGTTGGGAACCACTGTTCTAAGTGGACCCTCAAAAGGGAACACAATCAAACAGACAAATGACATCAGTCTGTATAATAAATTGTCAGAACCAAAGGCTCTGGATATTAAATCTGCACAAAGATGAGAGAGAGAGAGAGCAATGGACAACCTTTTTTTTTTACATTTAATATTAACCCATTATTTAGTATTCATGTATAACTTAATATTTTCTGTACTCTTGTGCTGTGATTGTTTTCATCAGAAAATCTTCAGATATCTATAGTTTGTTTCTCATACAGTAATAAAGCTATTATGTTTGTATATAGCACCCAAATAGACTTATAACTTTCAATGCCATTATAATTGTATGCTCAAATATTGATCATAGCACAGTATGGGTCAATGTTACACTTGAATAACACACTGAAGGTGCAGGCTGTGGAGACATCAGCGATATAAATGCAGGGGTTGGTGAAGGTGGCCATTTGGCTTCATTTCCTAAATGAAAATCTTTCTCATGCAGAACAGCCATGTGGAATCAGATATTGGAATGGGAAAGCCTGCATCCTCGCTGGTGACTCCATCTTCAACACCCGACTGGTTTGAATTTGTGCAGATTAACCGACGAACAAACGCTGCCCTTTTTCCTTTTACTATTACTAGACAATAATAGTAATAACAATCAACAAATACGTCCAATATGGCAATTTCTGTGGAGCAGCCAGGCATTCTGTTCTCTAGCTGCAATCACTATTTCTACTGCTTTCTCCTAAAATATGGTATATGTGGTGGGCTTTTGGCTTCATTTAGGAAATGTAACCTTTTGAAAGAAAACAATCCACTGCTTTGATGGCCTTTTCTGACACTGACACGCATGGAGACGTCTTCAGAATAAGATGGCATTCACACCATGATTCCCACATCAGTCGCATGCTCTGTTCATGTCATAGGCGCTGGAGATGATAGGCTGTGATTTCACAAAAATAGAAAGAAAGAAAGAAAGAAAGAAAGAAAGAAAGAAAGAAAATATCAAAA